GGAAAAAAAAGGAAGGACTGCCCCCCCCAAAAAAAAAAAAAAAAGGAGGAGGAGGAGGAGGAGGTGGGATGACAACTAGGAAGAGGAGGGAGACAACAGCCAAATTAAAGGTCACATCCCTCACCTCAATAAGAATGAGGGTTCTTGTCTTTGGGGCTCAAGTACAGTTGGTATTTCTCAATAAATTCCACTTCAGTAGGCATTAATAATCTGCCTCCAGTGCATCTCATTTGTGGAGCATTACAATCAAGCCCTTCCAGAAGAACTCACTCACAATTAATAGGGATGAAAAAGCTTTGTGCCATGTCCCTCAACCTGTTTCAGTTATTAAGATTAGGTTTCCAGAGCAGAGGTGAGCAATCAGTTAGCAGATTACCTGAAGCACTTGGAGAAACCCACTCAGACAAACTATTTTAGTTTTACATTTGCCAGGGCTTCTGGGATGGCTCTGTATCCCTCTTCAGCACCGAGAACCTGTGAACCTGGACTTGCTCTCACCAAATGATCTTACCTGGTTCGCCAGGGTTCAAAAAGTTGTCTTCACAAAAGGTGAAGTTGTCTCGACAAAAGGTAAGCTGGTGTGCTGTCTCACAACTGGTTCTGATCCTCTATTTAAAGTAAGAAAAAAAAAAGAGAAGGGGAAGAAGTTTCTATGAAAATAAACTAATCTTGAACTAAAATACCTGTCGCTACACCGCTGTGAACTTGTTCTATTGCCTTGGATCTGATTCAAGAGATTTAACTCGGGGGAAAATTTAGAAAGATTCCATGTTCAGACTCATCTTTGCAGAAGTCTCACCTCGATATGCTTATGGTTGTGCAGTTACTGAACCCTTGCAGATCATATCATGACACCGACATGAACATGATGTAAAATAGCCACACTTTTTATTTACCAAGAATACTAGTTATATTTGTTTCTTTCTTCATCCTATTTGGGGTGTTGGGAAATTTGTCTATAGTCTCCAACTGCCTTATGGCTTTACACAGCACCTCATCTCGCATCCAACTGCAATTTCCCTTCTTGAGGTGAGAAGGGCAAGATCCTTCATCTAACATTTAAGAAATAATATTTTTTCCCTGCAGTGAAGCCAGTACAGAACTAGATGTGTTTTGGATATTTCCATAGTTCTTTTCTGGGGCAAAATTAAAAGCTGCTGGTATACATTACCCAACAATAAAATAAATTGTTAAGGGGTAAATTGAGTAGAAATGTCCAATAGGGCAAGATAAACTAAAGCAGAGAAGTTCATGCCCTTCTACACCTCTAACTACTTCTTCCTTGTGGGAAACCACAGGATCTGTGCTGTTCAACATTCACAAATAAGCTTGAAAAATGAGTAGATCCCGAGATGGCAAAGTATCCAGATGGTAAAAAAGTTACAGCTAGTCAAATACAAAGTTGAGTGTGATGATTTAGAGCAGTGGTCTCTAAACTTTTTTGATCGCGTACCCCTATCAGTAAAAAATTTGAGTAGGCACCCCCAATATACATATATTTATATTCGCACACCCTCATCAGTAAAATTTGAGCATGCACCCCCACTATATGTAGATTTCTATAAGTTCTAATATTTTCTTCCTGCACCCCAATGGATTGTCTTGCACACCCCACTTTGGAGACCACTGAGTTAGAGAGTTATCATAAAACTGAGTAGGCAAAGTGGTAGATCAAGCTGAATAAGCACATGGGGGAGTGCCATTACCTCCCAAATGAGCCATTATCATTCAGGAAGCATCTTTGAGTCACTCTGGATCCTTCTTTGTTTGAATCCCTTCCCTAATTATTTAAAAATATATTTGTCTGTTTGAATTTTGCATATTGTGCCAATATTAAAAAAAACAAAAACAACAAGAAACTCTGATCATGCCATTATATAAGTCTACAGTGTGTCCACATCCTGAATATCATGTGGAGATCTGCTCAAAAACAATATAGTAATGCTAAAAATATTACAAAGAGCAAAGATGAGGGGTATGAAATGGATTTTAATCAGAGAAGAATCTAAAATGGGTACAATTCTTCAGGCTGGAAGAGAAATTTAGGATTTTACAGATCTTGCTCATTCCGAGTGGTATGGAAATGTAAGTGAACAGGGAACAATTATTTACTGCGTCTCAGAATACAAGAACTAGGCTACCCAATGAAGTTTTCAGGAGGCACGTTTAAAAGGAACAAACATTATTTTTTGTACAATACATAATTAAACAATGTTGAACTCTTTGCCATAAGACATTCTAGAAGCCAATAGCATAAACAGAGATTAAAGACGGACAAGAAAAGTTTCAAAAGGCTTTTTCCATCAGGGACTATGAAACATTAGCAGTCAGGCACGTAACCTCAGGTTCTGGACATCCCTAGATCTCTCTAATGTTAACTGGGAAGGTAGAAATTAAAAAAAAAAAAAAAAAACAACCAACACCACACACACACACCACATGCCTGATTTCTGATATTCTCTCTGAAACAACCACTACTTACCACTGCCAGAGACAAGACACTGTGCTAGGTAGACCTCTGGCATGACCCAATATGTCAGTATGTACATTCTTATGTTCCTCCTCCTGTCACTGAAGCATGCAAGTTCCACACTCCTTGGGACATGCAACTTAAACCACTATGTAGAATTTCTGAAATTTTGGTTTCTCTATTGTGCACTACATCAGCAAACAAAAGTACTTGGCTTTGTACAGCTAGTTGCACCCTTCCTCACTCAACTCTCACCTGTTCATTTCAGTTTCTAAAATAAGATTAGAAACAAGTTATTCATTTGGTAATTTATTTTCTGTTATCTGACTAGTAAAACACTGGGAGGATAAAAGCAAGTCACTGCATACACCACTTTCCCCCTACAGTGCTCTCTATTGCTCTACTGCAAATGATTTTTTTGTTCAATGTTCTCCCTCCTGTAATAAATACCCAGTTGATTAAATTTAAATCCTTGTGTAGTTCCACATAAGAAAGATTGTAATATGTTATTCTGAAGTGGATTCAGAAAACAAAATACATAGTACAACAGTGCCCTCAGTCTTGGAAGGAACTATTAATCACTAAAAACAAAAACAAAAAATCCTATATAGCACTATAGATGGAATTATTCGTTAATATTTCTCTAAAAGTGGGCTAAGTTAAACAGGACAAAAGTATCTTTACATCAGAATATGATCATTCAGAGTTTTCCAGGAGTATCTACTTCATTTTAAATCCATACCCCTCCTTCATTCAGTGCCCCTCCCCTCATTCAAGTTGCTTTTTTAACAACAGGCAAGTCTTTAAACAATAGTAAGTTTATGAAGGTTAGCAGTTCATTGGGGTTCCTCAAATAAATCAATTCACATATGTAGATGCTGATCCTGAAAAAATCATTATGTTTGAAATCAGGGCAATACATCAGTGCATATACTATCCCACAGAAGCAATTAATTTTTAACAACGAGATCCATGAGAGTACTCTGCTGATTACCAGAGATCCTGGTTTTCTTAACCCTAAATCCACACTCATATACATATATAGTAGATTTGGGATGAAGCAAGCCAGGATATATATGTATTAGAGGCATTTCATTTTAATAATGGAAAAACGTCCATTTGGAATTACTTTTTTTAAAATCTAAAAATTAGGTTTTGTTTTTATTTTTTAAAACCCTGCGATTATTCAGAGTTAAGGGGAATTAGTTACTAATGCATAGATTTAAAAAAAAATTATGCTTTATAAGGTCAATTCTGGTACCAATTTTGCCATTTAGTAGGAAGCTGACAAGATTTCCACTTATTTAATTTTTTATTATAAAACTTTATTTCTTTGACTTTAAGGCAAAGGTTCTCAATCTTTTCAGAAGCAAATCACCCCTTGTTAGATTCAGGCCTCCCACCCAAAATGCCCTATTTTTCATTCCTTTTCTTCAACTATTGAAGAATACAGCAATCTGTTGCAAAGAATTCAGGAAGACACAGCAGGTTAGAATGTTTTTAACATTACGGATTCCTGTGTGAAGTCTCTTGGTTTATCTTGCGAATTAGTGTAGCAATACACAGCACCTTGAAAGGATCAAAGCACCCTGGTTGAGAATCATTGCTTTAAGGCTTCTCTCATTTACAAGCTACTATGCATTTTTGGACTTACCACTATGTGCGCATTCAACGCAAGATGCTGCACAATAAAAATGAGTTTGACTGCAGAAAAATTGCAAGTATCAGAATAAAGGGGTGCAGTGAGGTCTTGTTTGAAGTGATCACGGGCTTCTAGACTACAGCAGTTCAGGTACTTCTATCCTCTGAGCTTGACTCTTGTCACTGGATCTGTTCACTACAATTCAAACGCATTTCCAAAAGTTAGAATGTTGCCTAATAAAAGCCCCCTTCATCGCTGCACGAACCATTTACCACTCGGTGGTTAAAACCTCAATCTTCAGAAAGATCCAGGACGCGAACTCCAAGCCTTTGTGCAGCCACAGTGAAGCCAAGCACAGCTCAGAACCCCGCTACATGTTTTGAATTCACTGGTGAACTGTGCACTACATGTGGGCCCGTCACATGTACAAAGCCATTGTGGCACAATTCATCCGTGAACCATGCAATAAATGGAGACCAGCCAAATTTGCCAAGTCAGCAACAGGAACTTGGGTTTCCGCTACACACGTGCATGGGCACACAGTGTGCGTATATAGGGGGCGCGCGTGGTGCACATTTTGCAGGGGCGGCGG